GAACCCAGGCGTGCGTGCTCTGTACTCTCTTATCTCTCTCTCTGCCTCTGATCGATGTAAGTATAAAATCCTCATCTTTGGTTTTCTGTTTGTTTGCCGAGAAAGTAGGTTGGAAAATCAGAGAAATTGCTGACTCGAGTATTTTAGTGTTTGAAATTTCATATTTGATAGTCATATTTGTGTTTGGTCAATCTGGTGCTGGTAACAACTGGGCTAAGGGCCATTACACTGAGGGAGCTGAGCTCATTGATGCTGTTCTTGATGTTGTGAGAAAGGAGGCAGAGAACTGTGATTTGTCCCAGGCGCTGGTGCTGGGTTCCTTTGAACCCAGTAGGGAGGGGAAAGAGAAAAGGAAAGAGAAGGAGAAAAAAAAATTTTTTTATTTATTAAATTATATTTTTGGTGCCAAGTCACAATATTTTGAAGTTCGAGGTAAATTTAGTTGAAAAATGAAAGTTAAGGGACTAAATCAAGGATTTAACTTTTTTTTTTTAAACCTTTAGTCAGCAGTGGGGCCCATAAAAAAATTGGCAGCAAGTAGACTTCCTTCTCGTGGGGTTCCAAGTTGGCATGCCAGGTTGTCAAAAAATTCTAAGTTGGCGCTGACATGCGCATACTTGACGGAGGCCAACGGTGCACGTGCTACACAGGATGTTCCGGCGTTAAATTTTGCCTCATTTCCTCAACTCGAAAACGTTGAGGGTAAAAATCCATATATTGTAATATGGAGGGTAAAAACCCTAAAAGTCAAAAAGTTAAGGGGCAAACGGGTACCTTTTGCCTTCAAGAACAAGCTTAGAGCCTAGAACCCCCCCTAAAGCCAAGAAAATTTCAGATCTTGCAACATTTCTTCTCCCTTGCTGCCGGTTTCAACTTGGTGAGGGTGGGGATTTTTCGGTTTTCTGGTAAGGGAACCACCATGAATCATCTCTTTAGCTTTGATTTGCCTTGGGTTTACTCTAATTTTGTGTGTTCCTTCAATTTTGGTAAACCGTGAGTGAGTTCATTTTTCTTCTCCCCATCGGCTTCCTTCCCAGCCGGACCCGGTGCTGCTTGCCGGAATTTTCTGGTATGGTGACGACTTCTCTAAGTCCAATTTCACCCATTTAGCTGCTATTTGAATTTCCTTGTATTGTCCGAAATTTGCTGAAAAATGGGAATGAACTCCAGTAGCAATTAGAGCATAATTAGGCTTAATTAAGGTAGAAATGGCTTGATTTAGCTGTGTGAGGTTTTGTATGAAAAATCCCATGAATTAGCTATTGCTTTGCAAAGTCCTATTCCTCCATGTGCTGCCCGTGAGATTGGGAAATATTGCAGGAGCCTTAAACCATTTTTTTAAGCTTGATTAAGGTAGAATTAACTTGATTAATTGCTATGATGTTTATATGAAAATCCCGTGTGTTTTAGCCACTGTTTTGCCAAGATAAATTTTGAATAAAAAGCCCTGTTGCTCGGTTTTTTCCATTTCCTTTGTCCGTGGGAGTGGGAAGATTATGTATAGGTGTTTGTGTGCATATATAGATATATATGCACAATCTGATTTAGTGCTTAAATCTTGGAAATAAAAACAATAATAAGGAAATAAATATGGCATTGATGGGGGTAATGGTTGTTCTAGGAGATGCTTGAATTTGTAAATTGATTGTTTGTTGAATGTTATGTTCTTTTCCCTAGGAATCTCGTGTTCCAATTGGGAGGGAACAATGAGGCTTTGATTTGGTTCACGGATGGTGATAGATGTGTGGGTGTAATGTGAACAGGAAGGAAGCAGCGGCAATTAGTGTGTTGATAATGGTGGTGGTGGTGGTTTTGTGGATTCATTATGTGTGAGGTGTTGATAAGCATAAGTTGAACATGAGTTTTCTGTCTTATGCGAGTGAGGTAAGTAAATTATGGTAATGCCCTCTGATTTTAAAGCATGTTTTAAATTGTTTTTGAGATGGTGGAAAGGTTTAAGTTGATTTTAAATTGATTTTATTAGCACTGAGTATGATTGATTTGAAATGGAATTGTTTTCATTTGCATTGAGTAAAGCATGCCACTTGGAATTTACTGAACTGCTCTGATGATTTGAGAATTTTTGTAAACTATGATTTTTGTTAAATCTATACTCACATGGGAATTTTCCGGTTTATTTATGGAATTTGAGATTAATTGTGAATTACAGATTTTTCTATAAATCTTACATGGTTTTGTCTCTGATATAGTCATGATTACTGATGCCCGCCAGTGGGAGTTTGCAAACACTGGCACATGTCGACATGTTTACTGATATGACCGATTCATTTTGTAATCCTGCCAATGGGATAATACATTGGTAATTACTGACGCCTGCCAGTGGGAGTTTGTTAAACACTGGTACTACTAACGCCTGCCAATGGGCGAATACATTGGTAATTACTGATGCCTACCAGTGGGAGTTTGTTAAACACTGGCCATGACTTATAGATGAGACTATTATTGAATTTTCTTCTGCATTAACGGTTTGCCATTGAACACTTTGGTATTGAACTACATCTGATTCTGCATTAACAGTTTGTCATTGAACGCTTTGCTATTGAACTGAATTTGATTCTGCATGAACGATTTATCATTGAACGTTTTGTTATGTTAAACTGTTTATCAGGCATGCTAAAAGTTTTACCCAAGGGTTATCCATATTTTACTTACTGAGATATTGTATTTCATAGTTTTCCTTGTCCACCATTTCAGGAAGCGAAACCGAGAACGAGAAAACCAAGGGGAGTGACGAGGTAGAAGGCTAGCCATTATAATTGGATATAAGTTTTAGATTTTATCATCCTTTTGTAAGGTAGATTTTATTCTTGAGATTTTGTGATTTGAATAAGTTCCGAACCTTGTGCACTTGCCCCAAAAATTTCTAGAATAAATAAGTGAGTTAGGGACTGAATTGTGGAAAAATATTATTCTGGGACTCAATAGTCAAAATATCCAAAGTTGAGGGACTTAAAGAGGCAAAATTTGGATAAGGATGGCTTATTTCTTTTCTCCTTTTTTCCTCTTTTCTTCTCAGCCCGATTCTGCTCTTCTTCTTTCTTCCCGCTGCAGCCACCCAAAAGAAAAAAAAAAAGGGAACCCGACAGCCTTCCTTTGAGAAACCGGTGAGGAAGCTTGGTTTTGGCCTTCTTTTCTTGTTCAAGAACAAGATTGGAGCCTTGAAACCTTCCCCCCTGCTGGAAATTCCGGATCTGCTCTGCTCCTTCCTTCCTCACCGCCGGCTGCTCTTGATTGTGGGTGATTTCTGGGCATTTTTCCGGTAAGAAATAGCCATGAATCTCCCTTCTCTAGCTTTGAATTGCCTTGGGTTTACCTTAATTGCTCTTATTCCCTTCAATTTTTGGGTAGCCCGTGAATTGCCCCTGCACTGCCGCCGGCCTTCCCCAACTGCAGCTCCGGTTTTTGCTGGAAATTACGGTATGTGGCAGTTTCTCTAAGTCCCAATTTACCCCTTTAATTGCTGAATTTTGTCCATTTATTTGCTGCCCTATTGTTGTCCGAATCTCTGCTGGAGAAATGGGGGAATTTCGGTAGATTTAAGTGGAATTTATGTGATTGAGTGTTAATTAACTGCTGTGATTTTTGGAGAGAAAATCCCGTGAGAATAGGCTATGGTTTTGCAAAATTTGGAATTTGGACTTACTGTTCACGTTGGGTACTGTTCACGCACTAATGGCCAACAATTAAGGGGGATTTAAATGATTAGTTTGTGATATAAGAACGAATTTGGAGATATCTGATAATGTGGAGATTGATAGAATAGCATCATGATTAGGGGTGATCCTAATGATGATTTCCCTTTGAATTTGTGATAGTAGGATAATTAATTGTGGAATATTTTGATTAGGTTCCCAATCGTTCTGTCAGTTAGCACTAAGATCGAGTCTTTGGTTTTATGCAAGTGAGTTAAGTAAATTTATGGTAATGCCCGTACTGTTTTTAAAAGCATGTTTTGATTTGTTTTTGAAGTAGTGGCGGGACTAAACCCATTTTATGCAAAAGTGAGTATGACTGATTTAAAGTGAAATTTCTATGCTTCTCATTAAATTGAGCATGCCTACTTGAAATTTAATTGATTGTCCCGATGATTTGAAAGTGATTGGTGAATTATGATTTTTCTGTTAACTCCTGCTTGTTTTGTCTCCGATGTGGTTATGTGATTGATGATCCTGCTAGTGGCGGTTAAATGCTAGCACATGTCGACATGTTAGTAATAGAATCGGTTCGTTCAACCCTGCTAGTGAGGGTTATACACCAGCAAATAGTGTGCCTGCCAATGGGAGGTTTATAACACTGGCCGTGACTTATAGAGGAGACGTCTATTTCGTTCCCGTAATGTATCCGTTTTTCATGATTGCACTTGTTGGCATGCTATAAGTTTAATTAAAGGCACTCCATATTTACTTATTGAGTTTATCTCATAGTTTTTCCTTGTCCACCATTTTAGGAAGCGAAATCGAAGACGGGGAAACTACGGGAAGTGACGAGTTAGAAGGCTAGCCATTTCGAGATTGAACATAGATTTAGAAATAAATCCTGATCTTGTAAACTAGAATGTATTTGGAGATTTTATGATATCAGAGCAGATTTTAAGATTTGATCTTTAGATTTTGATGGTATCAGATTATGATATGATTAAGTTTCGAGCCTTGTGCATTTGTGAGACCCTCTCACGAGTGCACGGCGCCTGTCATGCCTCGAAATTGGGTTTTGGAGCGTGACAACACTTGTGGGACCCGTCTCACGAGTGCACGGCGTCTATCACGTCCCCAGATTTGAGTTCTGGGGCGTGAAATGCCTAAAACATATAACTCAAAATTAAGAGCAATATTTTAATATCAATTGTAGTCAAAGAATAAACATGGTATAATCATTGTAGTGAATACCTTTTAAAAGAAATGCATACCACATTCCTCCATGTAATTGTAGTAAGAAGATTCGCTATTGTAGTGAATACCTTTTAAAAGAAAGGTATACCACATTACTCCACATTGATATTGTTCTTTTAAAAGGATTTTGTAACTTTATCTATTTAAAATTTATGCATTCTTTTTTTTTTTAGATTATTAATGGTTTTTTATTTTTCTTTTTTATTTTTGATGTGTGGTGAGGACAAAACTTTATTCATGAGATTGGGGTCCATTAGAGCAATAATAATATTGATTCATACACTAAACTGAATAAAAAAGATATGAATTTGATAAAAATTAGATTATGTGAAAATATGGGAACTTTTTCACAAGAAGATATTATGTTTCCTATTTGATTTATATTATACTATTATTAACTTTTTGGTCATTTTAAATATAAATTCTACTTCACATCTAAATTGTATATATATTCAATATTACTATCATATATATTTAGGAATATGCATTCAATTGCACTAAAATCTCATTCAAATCACTTTGTTTTTGTAACTTTAATTTGAACACTTATATTAATATATTAAAATAGTTTCTAATACAAGTTAAAGGAATAAAATAAGAATGGACAAAAATGATATGAAATTGGAAATGAGAGTGGACAAGAAAAATAACCATAAAACAAAATTTTGCAAGTTAAACAATTATAAAAGAAAGAGTTGGTAAAGACTAATGTAAAAAAAAAAAAAAAAAGGAGAGTTGTTAAATACAGCATAATGCTTCATATAGATCTTGCATATTAAGAATAACTATGGTGTAATTTTTTTATTAAAATAATAATTGACACTTATTAACTTCAATTTTTAAGGATTATGAATTCAATTAAATAAGGATTAAAAATAACTAAGGAAAATGAAAAATATAATAATAAAAGTATAAGGTAAAAATTATTTGATTATTATGTTAACAACTAATAAAATTTATATATTAAAAAAAGAAAATCAACATACAAAAATTTCTTAGATTAACTGTCTATCTCTCCATATCTATATTTAAATCTATTTATCTATATCTATATATTATATAAAATGCTACACTTAAGTATTAATTAGGCACTAAATTTTGTCAATTTTATTTTTGTTATAAAAAATTTATTTTATTAAATGTAAAAATGAAAATATAGTATTTTTACAATAAAATGTAATAAATAGACATATTATAATAATATTAGCTATACCTTTTTATGTTTTAATCTCCTTCTCTTGCACTTCCATTTCTTTTCATAATATTCTCAATTATTTTATTATTATTAGCTATCATTTCACATATAAGGAATGAATTAAACCAAAGGAAGATTAGTAGATGCTTAATTCTTATGGAGAATAAAACATATAATTACAATTTCATTCATCATCATCATTTATAACACTATTATAACAATTTTATTCATTATTTATTTTTATCATTTTAAATTTTTTCACTCGATGCATTTTTTTCTTGGTTGGAAAAAATATGTGTGAGGGAGTGAGGTCTAAAAAAGCTTGACAAAGAGAAAACATTTTTGTATAAATTGTGTGACTTTTGCAAATAGAATTTCTTTTACTTTATCAAAAATATTTTTTTAAAAATAATAGAATATGTATATATATATATATTTGTTTTGAATATAGACATACAAAAGAATGTGATGATAATGGTGCAAAATAAGCTTTTTGATGAATAAATTAAAAATACAAGAAATTTGAGAGAACTATATTAGTTCATCGATTTTTATAAATGTCAAAACTAGTTAAATAAAGTTTGATTCTTTTTTATTTATTTATTTTAGATTACATAAGTAGGCTTTATTTCTATTTTTCATTACACATATTTTGAAATTGCTATTTAATAATAATAATAACAATAATAATAATAATAATAATAATATCAACAATAATAAAAATTAATGTATAAATATATACTAAAACAATCTCTAAAGCTCTCCTTGCAATCTCCCATTAAATGGGAGTAACATGCATTTTAATCCAAATATTTGATATGTATTAAATCAATATATTCATTATTATTTTCTATTACATATATATTAAATCAAAGAAAAGCAGCTTGAGAAATAAAAAATATTAATTTATAGAATAATAAACATACTTAAGAAAAAGTGAATACTTAAGAATATTAAGCATTGAAGGCCAAAAAAGAAAAAATACTGTAAGTGAGTTTAAGAAATTTTCAATTCCTTACAATAAAATCTTAAAGTATTTTTAATTCTTAATAACAAAATCTAAATGATCTGTTGGAAGATTTTTTAATTCAAAATTTAATTGTAAGATATATGTATTCAAATTATTTAATTTAAGTCATATTTTAAAAAGGTATATCAAATTTTTTTATTTAACATTGAAAATAGAATATTAAAATGATCCCATGTAACGCATATGAAACACGCGAGTATTTTATCCCATTTAAGTGTATTGTAGTTCTTTTTTTGAGGAAAAGAGAGATTATTGTCTAAATTCTTAAATAGAATAATAGTGAAAAAAAAGAACAGATATATTTAGATTTTGAGATTAAAGTTAATATTGAGTAATTTTTTAATTCTCTTATTATTATTATTTTAATGTGGTTATATACAATATTTAAAAAAAAAATACTCTTACTAATTATTGAACATAATTTTCAACTCAACTATAATCACTTAATTAGAATTTTTAATTAAAAATCACTATAAAACTTAGGAGTTAATAACAAATAATAATAATATTTAAATTATAATATAAAAAATTAGAAGAATCATGTGCAGCGCATGGGTAAAAAAAAAAACCTAGTTCAAGCTAAATAGCAATAGAAAAATCCAATTTGGATAATTATTAACATCTACTTTCTGCTTTTTACAAGCTTTTTTTATTGTAAAAGCCCTTAGAAAAAACATTGTAGAAAAAAATACCAACCAAACAGGTCATAAAGCAGCCAAACAGGTCATAAAGCCAAAACAATTTTAAAAGCAAGTTTGATTGCTTTTCAAACTCTACTGACCTCTCAAGCTTAAAACAATTAGAACAACTTTTCAACTAATTGCACTTTTTTCAAAGAAAAAAAATACCAACACATGCATGATATAGTAGAACCCTTTGTTGACAACCTCATTATTAATGATATTTATTTTATTTACACGTGGTTTTGAAACTTAATTTCTAAATTAGCTTCTTTTTGCTAAGGTATTGGTAAATTTTTATGCTAAAGTATTGGTAAATCTTTATGTTGCAAGTAAAGCCAAACAAGATTTTCAGATTCACTCAAAAGTTATTCCATTGTTTGGGATTTGGTCCACAAATGTATTATTTGATTTCATGTGTCGTTGTTAAGAAGATAGAAAAGAAAGTGACATGCTTTAATTATTGGCAATTTGGGCCACATCAACACTAACTCATTTATTGGTACGAAAAAAAGGTGGCTTATACTTTTTTATTATGAATGGATAACAATAATTTATTTAGATATTACTTCTCTAATTTGGGTATCACTTCTAGCAATAATTTTCTTATATTAAAATGTGATTCACTCCGTTACTCCTTCATATCTTCAATAGAAATCTTTTACATTGGAGTGTGATTTACTTCTCTATATTTTGAATGGAAATTTGCTTAGTGTTATTGGACACTTAATTTTAATTTTATGAGCTACAATCTCTTCATGTATAAATAGAACCATTTTATATAAAATAAGAGAGAGCTACAAGCTTTATTTTCTATTGTTGGTGTTGTTCTTCCACTTCTCTTTAGTTCTTGTTTCTTCTATTTTTTTTATAATTTACAACATGTTATCAACACAAATCATCTTCGTATGAATTACTCTTCATAAATGCCATTTGAGGTGATGAATTAATTGGGGTAAAGATCTAAGTAAAGATAAAATTTAAAATAAGATTTTGAGACAATTTTATCTTGTAGTTTCTAATTTGAATATTTTCTAGTGTTATAACAATAGTTTTATTTATATTGCATTTTACACTTATCACAATATTTAAGTTCATTGCCCTTGATAACTTGGCCTCTAACTATATTTATCATGAACTTTTGATGTGAAAATTCATTTAGTTACAATGAGTCTTGAAGATTCAATTGTAAAAGGGAAATTATTCCTTAATGAAATAAAACATTTTGAAAAAAAAAAAGGGGCATTCTTGAATGATTGTGATAAAGTAATATTTCTTCATTATGAAGTGCAAAAAGCACTAAAAAATGAATATTTGATGATGAATAATTCATTAGAACTATGAAATTGTTTGGAAGAAAGATGATTATAAAAAATTACAATTCTTTTGAGAGCTAGTTGTGAATGGATCAATTTATTACTCAAGAATAAATTCATAAATATTTTGAATTATTTCATGCTAAAGAAAAGATTATTGATGAAGACATATTATAGAAGATATATTTTTCCTTTTATGCTTCAAATATGCTGTAAAAATAGCAAAGGGCAATTTTAATATATATATATATATTAATCATCATCCACAATTATTAGTTTGATTTAATTTATTGAGGTGAATGTGACATTATATGATAATTGTTATTATGAATATGGTTATGAACTTGAATCTTACAAAATAATAGTTTTTTTCACAAAATAAAAGTTTTTTTCACACAGTAAGTTAGTAAAGAATTTGACAATTCTTAGATGTAACATGAATGAGCATTTTACATATTGTTAGTATACCCAAGCAATTCATGTACCTCTCATATCTTTCCAAGTAGTTACTTAACTTGTTACAATGTTTACTCAATAAGTGGTACACAATTGGTTCAATACACTTTCTGATATTCTTCTCGATTTAGTTGTTAAAATATAATATAAGTATAGTCAATTTAATCAATTCCTACATCCTATATGCATGACTACATCTTTAAGTTTGCCATTGAATTTTAGAATAAAAAATAATGATTTTTTAATATGTTGTACAGTGTATTAAACTAATATATGTATCAATAAATGTTCCTTGAGAATATTGGGGAAAAGTAGCTCAATATGCACACCCTCACACCCATTACTAATCTAATCCTTGCCCAAGGCCCATTTCTTAAGCCTACTAAAAGCCCATCTACTACTACCTCATATGCACCTTCTCAAACCAATACAAGTCCATCCATTACACTTGCTCCTCTAGGTCCTATTAGAACACACGTCATATCTACACAATCTCAAAATCAAATCTTCAAACCTAAAATTCTCTTCCATGAAACCGAACACCCCATTGACCAACCCTGTAATACCCCAAAATTTCAAGAACAAATAAGTGTGAGTTAGGGACTTAATGGTGAGAAAACATTATTAATGGACCTAACCGTCAATTTTCCAAACTTTAAAGGGGTCAAAAAGGTGTTTAGATAAGGCCGGCTGACTCATTCCTTTTTATCTTTTTCTTCTTTCCTTCTTTCTTGCCAGCCATTTTTGCGTCTGCTCTGTTTTCTTTCCCTTCTGCAGCCGAACACCACCAGCCTTCACCAACACCTACTCCTCCCAAAAATTGGAATCCCAGATCTGCTCTGCTTCTCTACTTCCTGCCGCCGGCCATAACTGGGTGTGAGTTCGGTTTTTCCTGTGGCCCCGTGGAAGTCCCCCAATTTTTCCCGCCAGCTCTTCCCCTCAATCTGTAGCTCCAGCTTGTTAGTTGAGGATTTTTGGTCCTTGATTGTCCTATGGCCTTAGCACTGGGATTAGGCCTTCTGTCCTGTGTAATTAAGGTAAGTAAATTATGGTAAAGCCCGTAATTTTTTGAAGCATATTTTAATTGTTTTCTGAGATGGTGGCGAGGTTTAAATGGATTTATTTGCATTTGAGCATGGTTAAAAAGGGAATTTGAACTTTTATTATTTTCCTTCTTTTCTAGAATTGAGCATGCCCACATGAGATTCTTCGGTTTATTTTTTGAAAGTGAGAACGATCGTGAATCGTGGTTTCTGTAAATCTTGCTTGGTTTTGTCTCCGATATGGTCGTGTAATCGTGACCCCGCTAGTGGGGGAGGTTTGCAAATGCTAGCACATGTCGACATGTTCGTGATAGAACCGGTTCGCTCGTGGCCCTACTAGTGGGGATTATACACTAGTACTCGTGTGTCTGCCAGTGGGAGGTTTATAACACTGGCCATGACTAATAGAGGAGACCACTACGTGATTTTATTTTGCATTAATGATTTGTTATTGAAACGCTCTGTTCATGTTTCAACCGATTATCTGGCATGCTTTAAACTTTGATGTCGGGCCCCCATGTTTACTTACTGAGATATTTCTATCTCACGGTTTCCTTGTCCACCATTTCAAGTAGTGAGACCCGACGCGTGGGAAGCCCGGGGGAGTGACGAGCTAGATGGCTAAGCACTTTTGGACTTAGGTTTTTGTAGCTAAGCCGTTAGTCACCCATGCTTGACATAGAAAATTTTGTGTACAGAATTTAGTGTTAGTCATGATTGTATATATGAAGTAATAAATTTTGTACATTCGACTGGTAACTATTTGGTAAATTAAAAGGCTTAAATCTGAATTGCTAAGTAAGAACTCAGTAGGTCTCGAGCCTTGTGCATTTGTGGGCCCCGCTCATGAGTGCACGGCATCTGTCGCGCCTCGAATTCGGGTTTTGGGGCGTGACAAACCCCTTGAACCGACTTGTGTTACCCAAGCTCTGAAACACCCCCAATGTTGTCAAGCCATGTCTAATGAGTTTAATGCTTTGGTTTGCCAAGATACTTAATTGGGAGTTATTTCCTAAAAATACTTGATAGAATGTTATTTGTTGTAAATGGGTTTTTCATGTGAAGCAAGATAAGGATGTAAAAATTGAATGATTCAACGCTTGACTTATGGCTAAGAGCTTTCATTAAATTCCTAGGTTAGATTATTTTAATATTTTTAGTTCAGTTATCAAACCTACTACTATCAAAATAGTACTTTTATTAGTAGTGAGTAAAAATTGAATCATTAGATAATTGGATGTCAACAATATATTTTTACATGGTAAACTAGTGGAGCAATTGTTTATGGAACAAACCCCAAGTTTCATTGACTATACCTTTCCCACACATGTATGTCGTTTTTGAAAGTCTATTTATGGCCTCAAATAAGCTCCATGTGCATGGTTTAAGGAGTTTAAAACATTTTACTCTCTAATGAGTTTCATAATTCCTAATCAAATAGCTCTCACTTTGTCTTTCACAACCAAACAAATTTGATTTATTTTTTGATCTATGTTGATGACGTAATTGTGATGGGGAGCAACTCAAAGTTAATTAACTTATTGATCACCTTGATGAAAATACTTTCTTACTAAGGAATTGGAATCTTTGAATTACTTTCTACGTGTTAAGGTTTTTTTCACCTTTATAGGACTTTTCCTTTCATAGGACCAATACATACAAGATTTATTGGACAAATTTGGGATGATAGATTCCAAATTCGTATCTTTTCCAATGACCACCACTCCTCTTCAATTACACTAGGGCACTAAACTTGTTAATCCCTCTCCATAGTAGTAGCTCATTGGGTCCCTTTGATACCTCCACTTAACTCAACTAGATATCACTTTTGATGTAAATCATCTCCCCTAATTCCTCCATGCACTTTCATATGTTCATTGGCAAGCAACTAAGCGCATATTGTGCTATCTCACAGACACTATCTTCCATAGTCTCCTTTTGCAGCAACAGTTGGTTAGTCCTTTCCATGCCTTTTCCAATTCAAAATGGGTCAGAGACAAAGATACCCTCTAATTGACTATTAGCTATATGGTGTTCCTTGGACGTAATCTAATATTGTAGAAGGCTTGCAAGCAAAAAAATCATAACTTATAGTATAACAAAAGTGGAGCACAACACCCTTACTACCATGTCTTCTAAGCTTGTTGTAATATCCCAAAATTT